TTAAAGTAAACTGTGTCAAAAACTTGTAGTGAGTTTAATTCTGTTTTGCAGGAAACGGGGTCCTTTCTTGCATGCTGTTCATAACAGCTCTATCTGTGACTGGTCTCAGGATGAGCCCCGGTCTTTGCTTCGGGCCATGAGCATGACAGTGTGCGACTTAGCTGCAATTACAAAGCCCGGAAATTGAGAAGCGAGTAGCTGAATTGGTTAGCAATGAGTTCTTCCAACAGGGTGACATTGAACGAGAGATAAATTAAACATCACACCTATTGTTAGTGATTAAATTATTTATGAGATGTATTGGGGAGTATACTATTGAGGAAGTAATGTAACTTTTATTTTAGGATTTAATGAATAGGGAAAAAGAGGATGAACTTCCAATGATGCAAGTTGGATTTATTGACTCAATCTGTATACCAATTTATGAGGTAATATTCAATTTTAAATTTGTTTTTATAATATGTCTTTGTTAATGTTAAAATGCTTTTTTTATAATTTTAATCATAACATATCTGTTTTCAACATTATATACAAATAAATACATAATTCTTTAAGTTTTTTATGCATGATGGAATATAAAGTGACCATACGTCCCGGTTCGGTCGGGCCAGTCTCGCATTTCCACCTTGTAGTATAACTTTAAGTTGAAACTTTGCATTTACTTGATAATAAAATTGCAACTACATTCTAAGGCGGGTTTTAAAAGTGCCTTTCACATAAATAAAGTTATAAAATTTTATAAATTGATTTTTATTGTTTTTATTTAGTTACAATGTTTATAAATATATTTTATTATTTTAAATCATATTCATTTTTTTATTAAGCTGCCATACCGGTTTTGACATAAAAGATATAGTTTCTTATAGAATAGTGTATTATAAAATCTATATCATACTATATTTATTACATAGTTTGTATGTGTAGTATATGTCCTGTACATGCTAAATATAGTACACAGATTTCAAAAATAATTTTTCTTGAAGTCAGTAAAAATTTTGGAACATAGCCATATAACTTTAAAAAAAAAATTAAACGATTAATTAATTATCGGAACTACTAATAATTACTGATTAATAATTTAATATTAGCATTCTCGATGATGATTATATGTTTTATATGTACTTACATAATTTTTTATAAAATATATGTAGGCTTTTGCTACTTTATCAAACAAATTGGAACCTCTTGTCGAAGGCGTATTGGCTAACAAGAAGCATTGGCTGGAACTAGCTTCACAGAATAATAAAGAGAGTAACTCTGATGAAGATGCTGAAATTGAAACAAATAGTTTATAAATGTAGTAATTAGTTAGAAAAATATAAATAATATATATATATATATATATATATATATATATGTTTATGTGTACATATGTTCACATTTTCACATATATAGAAATGTAATTAAGTGCCTCATGAAATGACCTTTATCTAAATGCCTTAAATTGAGTTAAATCAATGAAGGTTTTTTTATGGTGATTATAAAAATGTAAGTATAGTTTATAATTATTGAGGCCTTTGCTAGTATTTATCAAATATATTGTAAATAATATAATTGTGTGAATACTGAGCTACTATCACACAAAACTAAAAAAAAACTACAGAAAATGATAAAACTAAAATCAATATGAACAAAATCACTCCTTAATATTTATAATATTTTCTATCGTATCATGTTGTACTGAATTTGACTTTCATGATACTTTGGACCAGTAATAATGACAATATATAATTCATTTTATTTCGGCAAGCAGTGCAATTGATGCTTATTATTTATTATTTATTGTTTGCGTTGATTAATGAATTATTCAATATTTAGCTTATCGAACTTGTTAAAATTCTGAGAAAAATTCTCAATAAAGTAATACATAACATGAAAGTGTTAAAAATACTTTCTTTAATTTTGGAACCAAAAACTGTCGAATATTAAAATAAATATTCCTGTAGAAGTATATTTTGTGTGAAATAGCTTTAGTTTATTACATTTGTCCTGTCAGTCTCTATGTGTGTTTAGAAACTAATTAAATAATTATTGCTAGAGTGTAGTGTGCTTTATATATAATATATTTTATATGTTATGTTTTGTTATTGTGATATTATATGTTCTTAAAGTTATTTCAAAATTTTTAATGATTTCTAATGACATAGATTTCAAGTGAAGTAAGGTTGTTTAAGAGCAAAATTGTTTTTAAAATATATATTTTATTATTGATATATTTATAGAGTGATTTTATAAAACTAGTTTTATAAACATAATAGAATAATAATGGTATTAGTATTCTTGCATTATTTTATAACCTAGATTCAAATGAATTAGAACTTTTTTTAATGTTAGTACATGATTGAAACAATCAAATTTAATTGTATCATAACTAAAATTTTTGACTAATGAGTTTAAATTGTTTGACGTCGCAAAAAGTATGATTTTTTTTATAATGATATTAATTAAAGAAATTTATTGACAAGATTACTAAGCTTTTATTTCATTAATTTATGTTTGTAGGACTATAAAAGTAAAATATCCACTTTTATGGTATTTTTTAAAAATAAAATGTAATTTTAGAACTGATACCAGACAATTACAACACCAACTTAAGAAATATGCTTTATTAATAATTATAATCTTTTGTGAAATAGTTATTCAACATATGTTTCCCCAATGCTCAATGTAATGATTCATGTATTTCTGATGTTGAGAAACATAAATGTGTGGGTTATAACAGAATGTGTCAAAACTGAAAATGTGGCTTAGTTGTAGTTTAACTGAATTACTAATTGTGTATAAAAAAAATTGTCAGTTTTCAATCGATTTGAATGGTATAAATCTTTTTTGTAAATAACCATAGGTAAATAAAAACATGTTTGAGCATATGGGGTCATACATGAATCATGTTATAAATGTTTTTTGTTTTTGTTTTGTTAATTAATCTGTGACAAACAATGTTATTTTTGTATGTTTTTTTTGTTTTACAGTTGTCTCTAAAAATGAATAATGAAAAAGACAAAATTTTCATCAAATATGAAAAGTTTAGGATATTCATAATTATTTTATAGTGAATATATAATATATTTATTATTCAGATACATAAATGATAATATATTTTTCACTTTTACTCACAATGCTTACATTGATGCAAAATAAGATTTTTTTTATAAAAAAATATTTTATTCTTTGTGACCAATACTAGAAAAAATTGTTCACAATTTAGACATTTTATTTAGCAAATATTCAAGCATGTTGATAACTGCTACCTACTTTATGTCTAAATAATTAAATCATTACCAAATTTTGAAATAATATATTGTAAAATAGTTTAATTCTTAAAAACAGTGTGAATTAAATGTCCATTTATCGTGAACAAAAAGACACAGTTATCGGATTCTAATCAACTAGTTAAAAAGCTAAGTTGATTTTCAGCTATAATTGATTTCTATGATTCATAATTTAGCAGTAACTAAAAACATGTATATAGTTAGCAGCAGATTTACTATCAGCAGATTATTTGTGGACGTGACTTTTGCGTAGGGGGTATGGTCCATATTTGAAACTTAATTTCTCGATAAATAAGTGTAACTAGTGATGTATGGCATCGTGCCTTAAAGCAAATTGCTGGAACTTCCTGTACTGTAATGAAATATTCGAGGAATAATAAATGCTTTCAAATAGATTATTATAAATACGGTATTTATTATTCTTATTTTATAGACAAAATATAAAAGCTTGGACAATGACGTTTATATATGTTTACAGAAAAGTAAATAAACAAAATTTAATCAATTGGATTTAAAATGAAAAAAGTTGTCTAATATTTATAAGAATTATACAAACTGAATTGCAAATGTTTAGAACTTTAGCTGGAATTATAATTAAAATCCGAATTATTTTCGATGTTAAATTTTTTTTGGAAATTAAAAAAAATCACAAAAAGCAATCGTTTTGTCAACACAAACAGAAAATATTTTGAACCGTTTAAATCGGATGCTTAGTTCTCTCAAAAACTGCCATTTTTTGAACATTTAGCTCCATCGAAACGGCTGGACCAACTTTTTCATAAAGCTAATCAGCACGTCTCCTTATCAATAGGAATCAACTATTTTTTGAATCATTCAAATCCGTTGTTCCATACACACATATACAAACACATCATTTTTTTTAAGGTATGCCAAAATGCTCAGAAACCTCTGAAACATAAAGATATGCAAAAATTTTCAATTTCGATTTTTAGACAATTACAATAACTTACTCTACGGAAAGATAATAAATTGTATGATATTAATTAATGTTAAGGGGGTTGTTCGGTTTTTATTATTTTTTTTTTTTTGATTTTGAGATTTTTTGATATTATGAAAGCTAAAAACCTTAGAATTTTTTTAAAAAAAAATCATCTCAATATCTATTTTTTTGACGAAGTTATAGATATATATCTCTATATGTATGATCCTCTGCTGCTCTCTTTTTCATTACAATACCTCATGCACATGACCTTTTTAATGTGTCAGCATCTTTGAACACCATGGTGTATTAGTACATTAAATTAAATGGTGTATTTAGTACATTATATTAAAAACTTTAAATACGTTTTTCTCAAATTGACTTTTTTCAATGCGGTGCCACAAATAAAAAAAAACTACAAGTCGGTCTCCTACTTTTTTTACAAATCAGCTTTAAAGTCAAACGTTCCTTAACATCCCGTAATGTGGTACATTTACCTCGAGGTAAGAGCATTCAAAGATAGTTTACAAATCTATGAGCTATTACTTATATACGGATTTGTGGAATCACGGGAAATATGATAATAAAACACAAAAATTGATATCCTTATTTATATTATGTTACAAATATGTTACATACATAAAGTATAAATTAAGTAATTAATTTATTTATATATTGACACAATTGGTGCTCAAAAGATTTTGATAGGGATTAAAGTATGTAAAATAGGATATATCGCTTCTAATTTTTTTAAGATCATTTCGTAAATGTAAATGCCGTAATCAGTGTTAGCTATACCAATGAGGGACAAAAAAAGCCCATACCCTATGAAGAATGCAAGCAACTTGTGTCTAGACAACCAGCTCAGAAGGAAATTTCTTTGCAGGACTAATTTCACAGGAGGCTTGCAATAGATTAGTAAATAGCGAATTCGCACCATTTCACTGTTAGTCACAACATAATATTTATTTGGCACTTCGCCCGCAATGCTTTCTGGGGCTTGGACTCGATTCCGATTTGGTTGGTCTAGAAATTAAAACAAGTTAGTAACAACTAATACAAAACAAAGTAACTCTGGTATTTAAATGATTTTGATGCCATTTTATAGGCCTTTTAGAAAAAATACCAACTTTCAACTCCCTATCTCATCATTTGGCCGATATATCAGTGAAAGAGCCGCACTTGTAGAAAATGAAACATGAAAAATTATTCACCTTTTCATGCACTAACAATTAATTTTTTCACATTATTTGTTATGAACAACACAGCCAAGATCAGTGTGAATAGAATCACATCAATATTTTTTTCATATCTTTTATATTACCGACAAAAAGAGAGTTTGAAAATTTTCACATGTTTTCACTGATATCTCGGCCAAATGATGAGATAGGGAGTTGAAAATTGGTATATCGTATTTTTTCGAAAAGACCTATAAGAAGGCGTCCATTAATCACATGAGGTTTTTCGGAGGAGGGGGAAATTTGACAAAAAATCACGATAAATCACATGGTGGAGGAAGTGGTATACTAAGATATCACGTGTATTTATTTTTTAACTGATTTTTTTTAAAAAAAATCAGACATTTTCAAAAAAAGTGGGGATGGGGTCCAAAAATCCATAAATTCTCGCTCACATGATTAATGAACGCCTCCTTAAATAGCATTAAAATCATTTAAATATCAGGGTAGGGCCGCTTCTGTTTGGAAACATGCCCATACCCTTTGTTACAAGAGTTAATTCAAGACATTTATTATTAGTGTAAATTAGAGTTTTTAAACTATATCAAGGATAAATAAATTATATAATATTGTCAAATATCGCGGACCTGATGCATGCTGGCATTTAACATATTCCTCATGGTCAATTAATTCACAGAGGGCTACACAAGCCAATTCAGACCCAACTTTGCTGGCTCCCCAGGCAAATCCAGTAGTACTATAAGGAAGACTTACTGAAAGCTCACTTGTCAGGTAAATTCCTTTGCCAAATAATGAATTCTGAAATTTAAGAATGTGTTATAATCAGTTTTAAACCTACTTCAATTTTAGACGAAGAGAAATTATTGTATCTGCTCGCACATGGCTCTTGAAAGTAACTAGACTAGACTAGATTGAATTGACTCAGAATATTTCTTAAAACATAATCATAATTTTGTTTTGACAACTTATTTATTCTTTTCACCTTATTCAAATGCTGCTGTAATCCATGGTGCATAATAGAATGAAAATTCTCTAGTTTTGTCCCATGATATGCAAATATAGTTCTATGACCTTTGGCAGCATTTCTCCACCTTGATTCATTGGGGTGCCTGAAGTAATATGCCACTTGAAATATGTAATTAGGTTTTGGAAATGGGGCCTCACAGCGAACTCTGCTTAAAACGGAGTCGAACTAAGCAATATAAAATTATTATCAGAGTCTTATATAATAATATTGTATTTCTATGTATGTAAAATACAATAAAATCTTTGAAATGAGTCAATAATTATAAATAAAAATTTAACCAATTAATAACGAATAAACAAAAAAAATATTTTTTATAACATTATTACCATTTTACCATACCAAATGACATGATTTCAAAATGCAAATATTAATATGATGTAATTTGCGCAAATGAAATTACATAAGCAAAATTATTAATTTTTGTTGTGAGATGCCTTTCGTATTAGCTTTGCACAACTAGAACATTTCTACTAGATTTTATCCTAGTTATTTCCCAGTATTAATATTATTAATATCAATATAATGTTAATATTAACTAGTTATACAAACACATTCTGTTTCCACAGTCTTAAGATAAGGCTCACGCAAAGTTATAAGGACCCAATAGAGCAAATCGATGACATAGTCGCGCACGTGATATACATTGGGCTCGGTCACTTGCTGAAGAAGTATTGCTATGGGCGGTGATTCTTCCACAACTCTCAACTGTAAGTATAATTTAATTACATAAAACTTTTTTCACTTTAATACATACACATGTGATAATTGCCACATTCACTAACTTATTGTTCTGTTTACCGGATACCTTATTGCTGAGATATTTCAAATATATTTTAAGAGTTCATGTAGTCTTTATATAAATATTTAACTGGCATTGTGTTCTTCAGCAATTACAACTATCTGGATTAATTCTTCAGCAATTATAACAAGCAGGTATCTAAATAACTTTGCTGTTATTAGTATATAATTAGATGTGATAATATTAGAATACTGTTTAGGGTAAGAATCATATAGAAAAAAATACAAATTGTAAGAATTATATTTAAATTAACATATAAAATCCGTAATGACTATATGAAGAGACTAATGTGTAATGCATAATGCATGATACATTTTAGACATCAGAATACATTTTTGAATAAATCGTTATTGATTTCTAAAACACATTAAACAACATTCTTTAACAAACGCTACACAGGTATCAAACCACATTAATTAATTGCATGGGTGCATTTTAATTTTTTCCAAGGTTCAGTTTTCTTAGTATCGTATTAAAATGTTTTAAATATTTCCAAATCCTAAAATAAACTAGTTACTTAATAAAACGTATAGAAAATATTAGCACCAGTAATTCTATGTCCTTGACGCCATCCTTCACGAAAGCCGGCGGAAACGGCTTGAGAACGGAATTGAATCGGTAACTTTGGCACGCGGCCACAAAAAGGCTCCATTTCATGTCGACCGCCCTGGAGTCCTTTTCCAGGATATTGCGCAGGTGGCGCAGTTTCTTGGCCCGAAGTTCTAGCCCTTCTTGCTCCGTTCTTGGCGTAACATTAGTTTCTTCACATATATAGCCTTCAGCTGGTGTTATAGGGCACGGATCGCTTGTCAGGAACTCCTCATTTACGCTCTCTTCGTGACCCTCCATTATTCAGTTTTTTTGGGTATAGGAAATATTTTATAAAAAAAATTACCTTAGAAAATTAGATTTTCGGTCAAAATAAGGTTATAATATTACATGCCAGCAAAAGAACAAGATTCGCTTGGCAAACGATTACATCTTTACGCAAACGATAAATTTTAATGTTTATGAGCAAAGCAGACTTTTTTTTTTTTTTACAAAAATGTTGGTGGAGCTCAATTGTTTCGAATTTATAAAACAAATACTACGAATATGAAACGTCAAATCTGATGAGTGACAGTATGACAGCTAAAAAATAAAATGACAACAAAATTTACACATTAAGCTAGGTGTAAGTGGTACTAAGGCAAGTTCCATGAAGTTTTATTATTTATTTATTATTTTTTTTATTATATTGTCTAGGATATTGTTTTTTTATTTATTTATTTATTATTTTTTATTATATTGTCTAGGAAGTTTTCGATGCGTTGAAGAATCGAATGCGATTTGTAGAATTCAGATTGATATATTTATATAAAAATTTCAACTGTTCATTTCGAAAATAAACTTTGCGCTTTTACTAAAACTAATCCAAATATTTCCAATTAGTTTCTGGTCAAACTATTTTGACAAAATCCATAAAAGCGAACCAAGACAATATAAAAATGAAACCAACAACTGAATTATATTTCGAATTCCTACAATTTGTTTTACGAATATTCACAGATTTGAATATAAAAAATGGAGGCAGAAAACCAAAGTTGTACTCAGATTGGCTTGGATGGAACGAATTCATTATGTGACCAAATGTGCACAGCATATGCAACTATTTTAGAATGCCTTATACAACCGATTTTTTTGAAATATTCAATAGAAAAGTTAAAAAGTCAATCATTTCCAATGCCAAAGAACAAAAAGCATTAAGTATTGATGTAAATGACATGTGTATATGTTAGAGAAAAGGTACCAAATATCATTCAACTGAAAAGAGTCGCTGTCAATTTTTCACATGAAATATATATATATATATATATATATATATATATATATATATTTTATTGAGGTGGCAGCCTAAATGAAACAAAAGTTTCCTTTCCATAATAAATAACGTCAGGTACTGAAATGTTTAGATATGTTAACTTTTACAGACACAGAATTCAGGTTTTTCTCACCCAAGCCGCACGTGCAATGCACATGTTAACTCATTTTGAGAATATGTATTATAAAAGTCAACACCAATTTCTAAACTATGATATTATTTCCCAAGTTTTTGTCCAGAAAATATAGCAGAACTAGATAGAAAATGAAGATACCAATTTTGATTTCAACAAGACTGAGGTGCCCAGTGCAAAACAATTCTGTAGCATGTTTCAAAATGAAGCAATGGCTCTGTGATGTTTTCACTGTTATTCACTTTTACAAGAAAGCTTCTGTGTTTGCTGCAACGCACTGCTACAAGTAAAGGTAAAGGTAAACATCAAGTAGAGATACAAATGAAAATGAGATAGCAGCTGGTTATAAATAAACTCAAAAATAGCTGCCAACATTGCCTAAAATGTTCCAATATCTAGTATTACTCTTAAATTTAAATTAATAAATTTACTAATTTTGTATGACTTAATGTATCTTTTTCACTTTTGTTATTCCATAAAACATGTGTATGTTAGTTACAGTTTTTTTTATTTTTGATCCTGAAACATTCCTTTTCTTGCCATCATTAAATATTAAATAGTAAAAATAGGATAGGAATGGTTTAACCATTTTTTAAGTTAAGCCGGTTAAGCCATACTGAGTCATACATAAATATGTAAATAAGCATCAGTTAAGCAGTTTTTTTGACGTATCTACAGTCATAGATATAGTCTACAGTTTTGCTGAGTTTTGCCTTATGGTGGTGTTGTGGCCATACTGATTAGCAGATATTTCTTGTCTTCTCAATTTAGTCTATGGTTTTGTTTATATACAACTTGTGGGTTATAATTCGCAAAATGATGTCGAACATTTGAATCCTATTTGAATAACTAAATACATTGTACTATGTACTTTATGTCATATTATTTTCATTTGTCCTTGTAATTTTATAAAATATTATTTATTTAATTATTAACTATATAAATATGACTGCCAGACAAGAAGAATCTCCAAAATCTAAAAATATACTTGTTGCTTTAAAGGCTTGTATATCAAATATATTAAATCCTTCTGAGAGCCCTTTGGCTTCAGCAGAATGTAATTTGGAGACTTTAGAATACACAGAAGGTAAAAAAAATATTATTAGTTTCATGTTTGTCCAAAATATTTTTACAGTTGCTAATTTTGTTTAATTCAAAATTAGAAGTTTGAGTAGTACGAGATTTATATTCGGTTGAGTTAATTTTTGCTTACTTTGCAGAGTTTGGTATATTTTTAACATCTTTGACAATGGATAAGAGTGAAAATTTAGGTTTTCGACAATTAGCTGCGGTTATCTTAAACCAGTACATAGAATCGCATTGGACACCATTATCTGATAAATTTAGAGAACCAGAAGTAACTGAAGCTGCAAAGGCCCAAATTAAAACAATACTTCCTTGTGGTTTAAATGACTCTGACAGCAAGGTATTGAACTATTAAATTATTACTTTAGAAAATTGTTTATTTGTTCAATTTTATATAATATTACAAAGGTTTAATAATTATGTATTATTTAAAATATTTTTTAGATGCGTACATCAGTGGCTAATGCAGTAGCTCATATAGCATATTGGGATTGGCCTCATAATTGGCCAGAATTATTTAATATCTTAAGCCATTGCTTGGCAGGAGATGATAATAGTGTACATGGGTCCATGAAAGTGTTACTTGAATTTACAAAAGATGTCAATCCTGATAATCTTCCTACTGTTGCACCAATAATATTATCTGAAGTTTATAGAATATTTGACGCTAATAAGGTGAGAAGTGAAAATGAATAACAAAACTCTAACAATATGTTTATGAACACATATAAATTAATATTAACATAATATGCAAATATGCACTATATATAATGTGCACTAATATGCAATAAGTTATTTTGAATTGCTTTTAAAGTTTATTGATATTTTAGATTTACAGATCAAAAACAAGAGCTCAAGCAGTGCAAATTTATGTTACTTTTTGTGAACATATTTTTAGTGCATATAGTTGCAATAATGTATCTTATTCATTATGTTTACCAACTATTGCACAGTTTATCGAGCGATTTATGCACTCCTTAGAAAATGAGCAAACAGATTGCTTCTTAAGAATGCAGATCATGAAAGGTAAATGTCATGTAATATTGAGCAATACAATATTAAAACTTAAATATGATATTAATGAATATTTTTTTATTTAAGCAATATGGCTTTTAAAACGATGGATTCCACTAAAAATATTAGCGCCTTATATTAGTCGTATGGTTTCTAGAGTTTGGAATCTGTTTCAGCAAGCAACACAGGATTATCATAAAATGGTCATCAATGGTTTATGTGTTCCTGAACCTGTTTATGATTTAGATGGTTTCTGAGTCAATATTAATTTATAATCATATTTATTAGTTTTATTATTAATAGTGAATTTATACACATAATTATCTTATAGGTGAACTGTTTAGTTATGAAAAATATACAATTTTGTATTTGAGTTTCTTCAAGAGTTGCACACGGAAACGAATTCCTCAACTTGAACCTATTTTGCAAGAATTATTAACCTGCTTACTTATTTTGATAAAAATCACAAATCAACAAAGAGATGAGTGGATTAAAAATCCAGATTCTTATCTTGATGAAGATTTTTTTGCAAAGCCAGATCCAGTAGCTGTAAGGCATAAGTCTCTTCTATTATTCAAGGTCAGTAATGTTTAAGAACAAATTTTGTAATCTTGTTTTGATTATTTGTTATACTTTAATGAAATATATTTTATTGTGATACTGTTGTTTATGTAGAACATTTGCGAGGAGTACCAGAAGCAATGTTTTGTTGTATTGGGCCCTGTATTGGTTCAGTTTGTGCAAGTCTCAGAACAAGAGAAAAAATCAGGTGAAGAAAATTGGTGGAAAGGTCATGAGGCTACTATGTATGTATTAGGATGCATAAAAAGTATTTTGCACAAAAATTATTCAAATATAACTGAGCTAAACATACCTGAATTCACAAGAAATGCATTGAATCATTTATGCCATCCAAACTTGGATTTTTTGGTTGGTCGATGCTTATGGTTGAGTGGAAAGTTTGTAGAAGCTCTTGCAATGCAAGTCATGATGCGTTATTTAGAAGTTTTACAAGGAAACATCGATTATAGGAAAAATGATGTCATAAAAATTTTGGCAATGGAGACATTGATCAGTTACTGTGAAAATTTACCTTTGAAAAATGATGATGTTGTGAGCTTATTCTCAAATTATATGCCTGAGTTCTATAATGGTTTAATTGGAATATGCCAACATTGCAAGTCAGCAGAGCTATGTCTCTCTTTACAAGCATTAATAGCATTGGTTAATGTAACATCAGTGAGTAATTATTATGAAACAGTGTTTGTAGAATTATTTATTTTTACAATGAGAACCTCAGATTTGCTATTTTAGGATTTAGATGAAATTTAGTATGGTGATAGAGTTGATAATCAAACTGAACTAAAAACTTAAAATATTAGAGGCCTATAAAAAGGAGTTTAATTATAGATATTAATTGAAGTTTTGAAAAATTGACTCCGTGCAATACGTATGCGTATGGTATTATATATTAATAATGTGTCTTGGTAGCTTGGTCAGAGCTAGTTTTTACTTTTTGCGCTCGGATTCATATATAAGAGTTAAAAAGGAGTGGTCTCAAATTCCATCACTGTATAATTTTTTTTAAAAAAATATTTGTTTATGCTTGAATAGTTAAATATTGTGAAAATATTTATGATTATTATCCCAATGCATATATTTTGCAAACAAAAATTGATATATTTGAAACAAATCTATCAGTTCATATATTATATGTGTACATTGGGTATTAGCAATAAAAAAAATTACAAATTTTACAAATTTATAAATCAAATATATTATAAATTCAGATAATATACTACTCATTAGTTCAAATGCTTCTTATCTGTTTATTTGTTAACAATTATGCTTTTTGCGCATGATTCTTTGTATTTGTCAAAAAAGTAGACGACAGACTCATATATGTACTAATACAAATTTATTTCAGATATATCAATTTTTGTTCTCTGAATATATGCAATGAGTTAATATTATTAAATATTTTTGCAATATCTAACTATTCAGGCATAAAAATAAGTTGAAAAATATAAAAGTCAAATTATATGATGACGAACATAAATCTGATCATTTTTAACTCATTTATCTAAAAATTCGAGCTCAAAAAGTAGAAGCAAGCGCTTAAACTGATTGAGCTACCGAGCTACTTATTAATATGAAAAACCGTACGCATAGGTATTGCGCGCGGTTTATTTTTTAATACTTTAATTTTTATAAGTAAACTACTTTCCATGGGCCTGTAGTATTTTAAGGTGTTTGGTTTAACTATCAACTCTCATCACCACTCAAAGTTTTATTACAACCTCAGAAGAGTAATCCTGAGTTTAATACAACTTTGAGACATTATGATAAAAACTTTTATGATTCAATAGACATCAAATTAATTTTTTTTTTTAATTAGACTAGAGGTTTTATTGACGACTTAGTTTTTAAGTAATGAAAATTATTTTATGCTTGCTCATATTTGTTACAGGTAAGTTCCAGATGCCCAGAGCCAGTAGAACAAAAAGTTATACCTCTACTTTTAGAAATATATAACAAGCTTAATAGTGACCCACATGTTTTTAATTTAGTTCTGGAATTGATAGGAAACTTAATGAAATCTCGCTATGAGAATGCAGTTACTTCTACATTTGTTCCTCATATTGTCGAAATATTTCGCGCAGGATCAACTACTGTAGAGAATGTTCAACAATGCATTGCTTTAGAAGTTTTAAAAGTTATAGTAAAAAATTCAAAGTCTCCTTTGAATGATGCTTTATTAAAAGTTGCATTTCCTCAAGCTGTTGAATGCATCTTATCCACAACTGATCATGCAACTCAACAAAGTGGAGGCGAGTGTTTACGTGCATATTTATCGGTATTTCCAAATGAAGTATGCAGTTTTAGAGATGGTGAAGGCTTAGTTTATTTTGTGAGAGTTGTATCTCAGCTATTAGATCCCAATACTTCAGAAAAAGCTGCCACTTCTGTTGGTCGCTTAGTTATAACGTTAATTATGAAAGCTGGCAATTTATTGGGTGAACAAATGGATGTGATTTTAAAATCTGTTTTGAGTAAACTTCAGCGAGCACAAACTCTGAGTGTAGTAATGAGCCTTGTAATTATTTTTGCTCATTTATTCCTGACGCAAATGGATGCAGTTATTAATTTTTTGTTAACTGTGCCGGGACCAATGGGAAAGTCAGCTCTAGATTATGTGCTGACAGAATGGTGTACAAGACAACACCTATTTTATGGGATGTATGAGAGAAAAGTTTGGTGAGTTTTTTTTTCAATAAAAAATCATACTAAAGTGAGAGTTCTAATAAATCAAAATTTTATCTTTTTTGTATATTTTTTTAAGTGCTCTGGCATTATGCAAGCTTTTTGAATATATTATCAGTTCAAATGATACTCAAATTACAAACATCAAAGTTAGAGCTGACACTTTTGCTGCTATTGATGAGGAACCGAAGGAGAGCGAAGAAGTATTTATAGTTTTTAAAATATTCAAATTACTTTTACTAGAGCTGTGGAATCTTATGGAAGGAGACCACACCGATGATGAACAAGGTAAATTTAGAGAAAATAGTTTTAACAACAAGAAGAAACATTCTTAGTATTTGATTTGTTTTACTAAGTTTCAGGAGACGATTACGAAATCACTTTTGAATCAAATGATGAAGATACTGATGATTCGGAAGATGAAACCATTGATGACTCAGATTATACCAATGAACCAGTATTTCAGGTAAGAATATTTTTATAGAGGTATTTTTTTTATATTCACTTCAATGATAAAGTGAAAAAGCTAAATTAACTGCTTCCTATACTTTAGTTACATGTGTTCTACATAAAACTTTACTGAAATAATTGTATATATTTTAACATTTTAGCTTAAAATTTATTTGAAATATTAAATTTATATTTAACTTGTTTTCGCCAGCAAGTCGAAAATGCTAATCTTGTGTTTTATTCTAAATCAAAATTTAACTTTTCGTCGACGTTTGACGTCGGCCGCTATCGAAATTTAACCGATTTCGAAATTTAAAAGCTATTCGATGAATTTGAATCGCGCTAAAATCTCGCAGTGATTAGGTTTTTACTATCGGCGGAGTTGTTTCGTTAGGTAAGTGCAAAATTTTATCCACGTTTTAGCCAAAACCCCTCAAGTGATTTTGAAAATTCAAGCACCGTTCGAAAGATCTCAGTTGGGAATCGTGATTAGTTCTTGGTAATATTCGACTAAGTCATTTTTTTTGTAGTTGTTGAAATTTGTTTTGATAGTTTTGATGACATTTTTGATAAAGGATATCTTTAAATATTACTTACCTACGGAAAGGCAATTATAAAAATTCATTAAAGTTTGGAATAGTGGACCGCGTAAAAATGTCAAACATCTATTATAATAATTTTGAAAGTTGCTAAATTTTAACTCCTATTGATTATATGTCGATTATTTACAAACCTCGATTAATAAAATAATCTAGATAAAATTAATAATTGATATGTAGTTTTTGCTTTCTAGTATTATCATGCAAATCTTATATCATAAATTATTTTTTTCATTTTCAGATTTGTATGAGAAGCCATTTAAAGGATTTTATTCGTACGTTTGCTAAGAGTCCCTCATTCCCGCCTTTCGTTGAATTTCTAGATAATGAAGAAAAAAAAATCTTGCAATTGTTTATTACAGATAATTAAACTCTCAGTAATTTTAGATACATAATAAATTATTGGTAAATAATGTTACAGCTTCTAATTCAACAATGACTTATTAAGAAAGTATTTTGGAAGATATATGAACAAACTATTATAGGTACTAAACAAAACTAATGATTAAATATCGTCGCTATGCGCGTAATTGTTTATTTAATATATATTTTTATAAACTTCTATTACTTTAAGGAAAATTTTAGATACAGTTGTTTATAGCCATGAAATTTTGCCAAATCATTCAAATTAATGACTGATAATATTTTATATATTTACAAGAAATTAATGCGTTTCTAAATTAAAGTGTACTTTTGTAAATAAATAAAAGATATGTAATTTTGTAAATAAATAATAAACTAATGATCACTATAAATAATCACGATGACATTATTATAAATAAATGAAATATATTTTGAATATTTTAATGAAAATCTATCATTTCAATTTTCGCAATGTGTTGTATATGTGAATGTTTTTGTTTGATCAGAAACTGGTATTAAGCATATTTTAAAATAACAAAGAGGTTTAATATTTGTCAAATTCCGTAACAATTACGCAAAAATGATGAAATATATTGTTTTTTTTGCGATAATGATAAATGATAAATAATCTACGCTTACTATCTTATCTAATCTCCTTTCTTTTAATCCGTCTGAATCGCATTTAATGTAAGTCTTCTTGTAGTCCCGGTGACCAGGGCATTTGAACGACAAATAAAATGGAATTCGAATTTAGTCAATATTTTATCAATTGGCTCACCTCACTTTTGTTAATTTGTGTTATAAAATGGCTTTTTATCAGTTACGAAAATAATTAAAAACTAGCTATAAGTGGAATTCTGCCTATTGTGGAAGTGGAAACTATTAACACTTTTGAAAAAATTTTACTTCAAAAAAATTAAATTTTTGTCAAAGCGCGCAAGTGCCGCGCCGCCGTCTAACGCTTAAGCATTGGTACGGAACCCATAGAAATGTAAAAAAAACTAGTTGTAAGTGGAATTCTGTCTTAAGGCAATTAGGGCATCGTGCCTTAAGGCAAATTGCTGGAACTTCCCGTACCAAAAATTATTATCTTTTAAAAACGATACATTTTTGAAAAAATTTTACTTCGAAAAAATAAGATTTTTGAGAAACTATAAATTGGACAAAAAATTACTTTTTTTTGAAAAAAAAAATTAAAAAAAAAATATTTTTCAAATTTTTTTAAAAAAAAAAAATGTTTTCTATATTTTGACATATTTTGGAAGATCTGAAGCAATCGTACTGCTTTAAATGCATAGAGACAAAATATAAAGCGCGTAAGCGCCGCGTCGCTGTCTAACGGGTAAACATTGGTACGGAACCCATAGGAATGTAAACAAAATTTTTACTTATTGTTAAAATCTCTATAAAATATCTGATAATTTGATGTGCATATGTCTAATCATCATTTTTGACCGCCAAATGGCTTTTTTTTTTACTTTTTTCGTTAGATCTCCGAAACCGCTAAGCCTGCTCTTATAAAAATTTGATCAAATCTTCATCTTGTTAATACAAGTAAAATATTTTTTGAATTATTAAAATCGGACGCTCCGTTCTATTAAAAACTGAGGTACCGTTTTTGGCACTTTTTGCCCCATATCTTCGGAACGACTAGACCTACCTCCGCCAAAAACTAATCAGCACGTCTCCTTATCAATATGGATCGAATGTTTTTTAAATTATTCAAATTGCTTCATTCGTGTTCCCGAAATCGTCGACGAAAATTTGTATCCGCACACACATACATACTACGCACACACACACACACATACATCCATTTTTTCTAAGGTATGCCAAAATATTCAGAAACCTCTGAAACGTAAAGATATATAAAAATTTTCATTTTCGATTTTTTTGCGAATACTATAACTTACCCTACGGGAAGTTAATAATACTTATTGTTAAAATCTCTATAAAATATCTGATAATTTGATGTGCATATGTCCAATGATCATTTTTAACCGCCGAATGGCATTTTTTTTACTTTTTTCATTAGATTTCCGAAACTGCTAGACCTGCCTTTATGAAAATTTGATCAAGTCTTCATCTTGTCAATACAAGTAAGATGTTTTTTGAATTATTCAAATCGGACGCTCCGTTCTCTTAAAAGTTACCGTTTTCGGCACTTTTTGCCCCGTATCTTTGGAGCGGCTAGACCTGCCTTCGCCAAAAACTAATCAGCACGTCTCCTTATCAATACGAATCGAATGTTTTTTGAATTATTCAAATCGGTTGATCCGTGTTCTCGAAATCGTCGACGAAAATTTGTATCCGCACATACATACACACACGCACGCAAACACACACACACACACACACATGCATGCATCCATTTTTTCTAGGGTATGCCAAAATGTTCGGAAGGTTTTGAAACGTAAAGATATATAAAAATTTTCATTTTCGATTTTTTTGCGATTACTATAACTTGCCCTACGGGAAGTTAAATTTATTATAAATTGATTTTTTTATAGTAATTAATTTATCATGGAAATATGTAACATTAAGTTGCCAATTCATATTCAATAACAGATGAAAACTGAAAGATCAACGTTTGTCCAAAACATGCCGTTTATTTCCGACACAATCTTTATAATCTATCTATATAGATCCATTGGAATAACGATAGATAAAATATAACTTTATAATACATAGCTAATATAATCGTACAGAGGCTTGTTGAATGACATGATTCAATTGATTCTATACATAATAGTGTCTTTTAACACTAGAATGACGGTGATTGTATATCCGTTTTGCCTGATTGAGTCAATTTGACTCAATCGTCAAAAATGCAGGCCATTTAAAGTGAATTTTTTATCATAAATAAACCTTATTCCAATCATTTTTTGCAAACATATCTTTAAATACACTTTCTGCATTTGCGACTAATGCCATTGCTTCTGTTTCTGTTGCATGACACTTGTACCTGGTAATTTGCACTGTTTTCAATATTTTGTATATTAGATAAAGTCAAAGTACCTCTCGGCTTTATTTTCGTAGATACCGCCTAATTCTTCCGCCAGTTGCAAAAGAAATTCTTTTCTTGGCGCTTTTTTCAGTCACATCTTTATATATGACCCAAGCAGTGATTGCTGCCAAATCTGCAGCTGACCAAAATTTGATTTCAAATTTACTTAGGTTATTTGGCAATTTACTGAATAAATGGGCACCTTGCTTTGCTTGAGAATAATTTTCATCGACTGTTATGTTTTCGCCATATTTCTCTGATGCCATAAGTCAAAATGAAAGATTTCAACTAAATAGTTTGCAACAAATAAATTTACAGCATTGAATAAGCCCATTATAACATGATACCTTCCCACCAGAACGTTTATAACAGCTTTTTATGAAAAGAAAATAAGTTACAAGTGTCTAAAACGGTGAGTCTTCGTATCCAGCAAAATAGGTATAGCAGATATGAATTATTGGAAGTAAGAGTAGGGAGAAACAGAAATGACTTTTTGTATACGTTTCATTGTTCCATGAAAAACCAAAAAAATATTTTAAAAAATGATATAAAATTTGTATGTATATCACATTAAAAGTGCGAATGAGTAAAATTGACTCGCTCCGTCATTCTAGTGTTAAATGTGAAAAACATGAGTGTATTATATTTGACACATACTTTTCTTTGGGAAAGATTAAAATGATATCCATACAGGAACCAATAACATATTCTGCTAGTGTTGACTATTTTGATTTTGAATATTTTTTAAATGAAATAAAATACTTAACTACGTCTGTTTTTTTATAGAGATGAATTTTATTATTACAATTACGCAAGATGCCGCATTGCCGGGTATTTTCTATATTTTTCTTGATAACATTTTGCTATATTATATTCAAGTGAAATTCGGTCACCACGGCTTGATATTAGGCTGCTCGAAGCTGGTATCGACCTAGGACCTCTGATTCAAGTCCCATCGAATATGAATCACGTTCTGGAAAGATAGGTGAAGTTGAATATTAATTGATGAAAACCGGCAAATAAAAAATATTAGATCGATTAGAGAGGATTCAAGTGCATGACATTTTAACCTTACCTTAAGCTATGTTATTTCGTGTGAACGAAAATTTTAGTTCCCACCAAACGAATATTTTAGAATAGTAGAATAGGATAATTATTAATCTAGATAGTATAATAATATTGCAGATTCTCGGTGCGCACTCTCCTTTACAACAATTACAACCGGCGGCGGCGTTCCGCGATTAGCGGACACGATGATATCAAATTAATAAAACATAATATTCAACCTGTACGTATCAGCTGAATCATGTTCCGAGCGAACAAATACAAGCTGTATTCAATAATAAACAGTAGTTGTACATGTTATATACGACAGGCAGTGCTGTGATGTATGTTGAGAATATTTATTGATTTCATTTTTTTTTTCATTGAATTTATTAATTTAAATTTAATAAGTACATCGCCGATGGCGCGACCTTTCGCACGGACCAGTTACTCGTGCTGTGAACAAGGTGCAAGATTTCTTGAAGTTAGTGAAAGTGATGGTTCAGTTAAATTGATAATCGATACGATTCGGTACGGTTATTGTGGTATGCAAAACTGTTCTGTAGTCTGTTAATGAGGCATAATCAAATATTTGCATTTGATAATAGAATTACGCTTGACAATGAAAATGTAAATATAATGTTTATCTCGAACGGTTACAAGAGAATTAGGAGCGCTAATGCTCTCAACCCTTCTATTTGCAGTCAACAAACACTCCTGTTGTCTTAAATTATGTAACTCTGTAATTCATTATGTTTATAACACGAAATATTATAAAATTTATGTCTTTGAAATTGAAATTACTAATGAGTTAAATTTATGCTAATTAATTTAAAAAAAAAGCTTTTATTTATGCAGTGTAATAATTAACTTTTTTAATTTAAAATATGTATTTTCTCTTCGTTTTTAGCATAATCAAACGCAGCCTTGGTCTTCGCATTCTATCGTAAACTAAA